GATAATGATTTTTTTTTATTGTTACATTTATTTGCTAAAAATTATCACAGCACTAAAGCTTTCACTGACCCCTAATACATACAGAATGAATAAAAAGTAGTACCAAACTTTTTTTCCGTTTGCCTGCAGAAAATAATAAAAGTACTATAAAAAATGTGATTGTGTTTTGATAAAAATGGTTTTATAGTGGATTGCCATTTGAAAACAGTTAACAATTTTTGCTGAACTCAAAAACGAAAGCAAATTTAAAAAAAAAAATATTTTTGATAAAACGTCATGTTTATAGTACTTTATCAATTGTCATTCATCAATTAGTTTTTTTTTTCAAAAAATAAATAGTTTGAGCAAAAAACGTTTGGTTCCATCCTTTTTATTTATTAGTAGGTATATAGTTTCCTAGAAGAATTTTTAGATAACAATTCACAACTGCGGAGTTCTACTGTAATTGGATCTGAGGTTTGTCTCTACTCTGATTCTTCTCTACTTATTCATTTTTCATAAGTCAGTGTGTATTATAATAGTATGTAATTACTTTTAAAGTTTCATTAAAATTATTATTATTTACAATGTGTTAGGTAGTGGAAAGTGAAAATTTAAAACGGTGGTTATGCAACACACAATACTTATAGTTGTCTATTATTTGTATAAATAACCACCTTTTAAAAATTCTTTATCAAAAAAGACTTCGTAAAACAGTTAATAAAATGAAATAATGATATTGAGATAACAAAGTGGTAATTCTTTTAGCATAGGAAAGGTGTCTACATAAAATTATTATTATTAAACAATATACTCGTAGATTATTTGAATAAGATAAGAAACCTATTTTTGGATTTTTTTTTATATTTGGCACTGTATTTTGATAGATATAGATAGACAAGATATTTGCGAAGCAGAAGAAATAAAAAAACTGATCATAAAAACTATTTAATGGACAAGCATAAACTTGAAAAATTACTAACAAGTTTTTTTGACTGCATTTACCTTCAACAGTAATTACCAATATTACAAGGATAATATAATTAGATAATTATTTACTTATTTAACTCTCTTATTCCATTAGTTATGTGGTTATATTCAAAATTACGTAGGATAAAAATATTTTTATGTTATTTTGTGTTCAGATATATGTATTTTTTTAAATAATAAGATTCTTTGTCTTGTGCCTTTAAAGGATGGTTATTATTCCTGAGAAAATAAAAATAAAAGCGGATTGAATTCAAATTTCGCGCTGGAAGTGTCTGTAGCTCGACAAATCGATGCGCCCTCTTCGTATCGAAATCGCAACTACGAACGGCAACTCGTCAGAGGCACTTTCGCACTTTAGTGGCGTTTGACAACGAATTTTGAAATTAGTAAGTTGTTTACGCTATGTAAAAGGTGTGAAACCGTCCGACAGCCCCCTTTTGATTGACTCCTTCCATTAGGTGTGTGTCAGTGACTGTATTTACAAACACTAAAGACGACGGTATCGGCGATTTCAACCTCAACCGGACTAGGGTCTACAATGGCAGCCAGCGATTCAGCAGGCGACGATTCCTTGTACCCCATCGCCGTTCTAATCGACGAGCTCAAAAACGAGGATGTCCAGGTGAGCCCCCGACACGCCCCCATGTGACATCACTTATGATTAATCAATCCCCAGCTGCGACTCAACTCCATCAAGAAGCTTTCTACGATCGCGTTAGCCCTGGGGGTGGAACGCACCCGATCTGAGCTCATCCCCTTCCTCACGGAGACCATTTACGACGAGGATGAGGTCCTTCTAGCCCTTGCTGAACAACTGGGGAGTTTCATTACTCTAGTTGGCGGGCCTGAATACGCCTACTGTCTTTTACCGCCGCTTGAGAGTCTGGCCACTGTTGAAGAAACGGTCGTCAGGGATAAAGCAGTGGAGTCTTTGCGGGCGGTGGCGCAACAACACAGCCCCGCGGACTTAGAAAACCACTTTGTGCCCCTAGTCCAGAGATTGTCAGCAGGGGATTGGTTTACTTCGCGGACTTCGGCATGTGGACTATTCTCAGTACGCAATCATAGTTTTTAGGGATTTTCTCGTTTTATTTGGGGTTTTACAGGTTTGTTATCCCCGTGTGTCGGCTCAAATGAAGGCGGATTTGAGGTCGCATTTTCGAGCTCTGTGTCAAGACGATACACCGATGGTCAGACGAGCCGCCGCCACGAAATTAGGCGAATTGGCACAAGTCGTCGAGTTGGAATATTTAAAAACTGATTTAATTCCGATGTTTTTGAGTCTGACTCAAGATGAACAAGACTCTGTTAGGCTTCTGGCAGTTGAGGCTTGTGTCAGTTTCGCCTCACTTTTTCAACAAGAAGATATCGAGATGTTTGTTATGCCGACTGTCAGGAATTGCACCGGTAAGTGGCGTCATCTCACGAAAATAGTCACTTTTACGTCAAAGGGGAATCCCAGAATTGCCAACTCTTGGTGATTTCCACCAGATTTAACCGAGATGTCGTTTTAAACTAAAATTGAAAAATTGTTTGCAATTCAAATGTTACCTGTGTTTATAAGTAGGTACCCAACAATTTTGATTTTCTTTTGAATTACAACAAAAATCGGTAAATGAACATTGTAAATAATAATTGTTTGTAAATCAACATTTCATAAGAAACCACACGAAAATTACGATTTCATATAAATAAAATAAATAAAGAGGCTTTTATTAGGTGAAGTTTTTCATACAATACTGTTAAAACTGTTAAATTGCATCCTAACATAACTACCGTGTGATCAAAAAAATAAATAAATTAGAGTAGACGGAGATTAAAGTCCTTCAGATGGCAATCCTGATTTTTGCCAACAAATGTCAGCCGAAACTTTAACAAGTTTGCGTTTTATTCCTTTTGAGTGAAATAATGTTCACTTTCAGGCAGAAAATTTTTATTGCTGTACAAGACGAAAACGGTGAATGGTCATTTTTACTTTCAGTTTGTGTGGAAAATTTCCAACCCAGATTCCCAGCCAATGTGTTATCAACTGTAGAATTTAATCGACGCCTACTCTATTTTTTTTTTTTTTTTTGGATCGCACGGTATTTCAACAAACAAGAAACTAAATAAATGTAAAAAAAGTAAAACGTGCATAAAACTTTGTCAAATGTAGAGATTTTCTTTCTGAAAGGGGTAAATTTGGCAACATCATATCAAAAATTTGTGGGTTTCTATAGTAACACAGACTTCAAATTATTGACTGGAGGTGGTTCAAAATGGACTGCAGCGTTGCCATTTTGTGCTATCTTTAAATATGCATATTTTCAAATCCAAGCGGCTTATAAAAATTGTAAATGCATATCTGAGTGTTTATTGACGTTTTCTATCACTATACATACAAAAGATTGTCCGACCTATTTTAATCACCGAGTATGACATGAAAAAACAATTAACATGCTTCATAGTTAGTTACGGTGTCGGATTTTTTTGTATACTTGACAATGAAAAGCCTTCTCAGCCAGCTTTGATTTTTKTTGAACAGGTGACACATCGTGGCGTGTGCGGTACATGGTGGCCGACAAATTCACCGATTTGCAAAAGGCGGTGGGGCCTGAAATCACMCGAACCGAYTTGGTCCCCGCCTTCCAGAACCTTCTCAAGGACACTGAAGCCGAAGTTCGGGCCGCAGCCGCCAACAAAGTTAAAGATTTCTGTCAAAACTTAGAYAAAGCTCATCAGGAGAGCATCATAATGAACAACATCCTCCCTTGTGTTAAAGAATTGGTCGCCGATCCTAACCAACACGTTAAGTCGGCCTTAGCTTCGGTGATAATGGGTTTGAGTCCTATTTTAGGACGTCACAATACCATCGAACACCTGCTTCCTTTGTTTTTGACCCARTTAAAAGACGAATGTCCCGAAGTTCGTTTGAATATCATCTCGAATCTAGATTGCGTGAATGAGGTCATAGGAATTCAGCAATTGTCTCAGAGTTTATTACCGGCCATCGTCGAATTGGCCGAGGATTCAAAATGGCGCGTCCGTTCGGCCATTATCGAATACATGCCATTGTTGGCTGGCCAATTGGGTCGCGAGTTTTTTGACGAGAAATTAAACGCATTGTGYATGACTTGGTTGATGGATCACGTGTTCGCTATTCGTGAAGCGGCTACTTTGAATTTGAGGAAGTTGGTGGACCAGTTTGGGGCCGAATGGGCCGAAACCACGATCATTCCGAAGGTTTTGGCGATGTCACGTGATCAGAATTATTTGTATAGGATGACTTGTCTATTTTGTATCAATGTTTTGGCWGAGGCATGCGGTAGCGATATTACGACGAGATTGCTCTTACCGACTGTTCTCAGTATGGCAAATGATAAAGTCGCCAATGTGAGGTTTAATGTCGCTAAAACGTTACAAAAAATCGCACCACAGTTGGACCAAGCGGTCATACAGCCCCAGGTTAAGCCCGTTTTAGACAAACTTACGGGGGATAGCGATATTGATGTTAAGTATTCGGCGTCCGAAGCCATCGCTGGGATTGCTGGTAAGTAATTGCTAAAGCGTGGAAAAATTAATCACCGGTTTGTGAAATGAAACTTTTCATGTGTTTCATGAACCGGGAAACGTCAAATTTAGAGTGAAACCTTTTTATGTTTTTTCTTTCAGCGTTAGGTTGAAGAGGGGTTTGCGCAAGAGCTGAAGCGAGTAAGTGAAAGGATCTGAAAATATACATACAACATAATAAATTAATCTCGTAGATTGTAATATTATATATTTGTTGTGCTCCATATGATTTAAAACAATGTGTAATATAGCGACTTTAGAAAAAAAAAAACGTATAAAACCCTGTTCACTATTTCGTCACTTTATCCTTTTTATACTTTACTTTTTTTGTAATTGTTTTCGAATCGTTTTTTAGTTAATTATTTTAGTATTACATGATAAGGAAACTCGGACCTTGCTCCGATTTCGGACTAGTTTTACTCTTCTTTTGTATTAATTAAAGAATAAATAATTTCAAACACAGTCGAAAGTTTAGTGGAGCACAAAAACCTTTTCTTGTTTCGTAATCGTTTCTTCAGCTTATGTATACATTCTTACATGATATATGTATATAAATAAAAAATAAATTGGAATAGAGACAGTCGCTAATCATTATCAGCAGTCTTGCTCATCATTGATTGGTTTTGGTGCTTTTCGCCGACGTCTTCTCGGCGGGTTCTAGAAAAAATTCTTATACGACTCTGGCGCAAAACAAATAGTAAGTACCATGTAGTCAATCAGGGTTTTCCCTCGGTTATAACCGCAGTCCCCCCTCCCGAAAATCCATCCAGGGGCCACTCCATCCGTTTCCAGGATTTCCGCATTGCGACAAGACGTGTACAACACCCTGACGACCAAAAATACGAGCAACTGAATCAAAATGGAGTAATTTTGATTGTGGTCAAAGAACTGTTTTACCTGTATRAGACAGTTGAGGACTACTAGAACAATAAAAGTGGTGATTGCCATCCGAATCGGTATTTTTAGTTTCGTGATGCACCCTTCAGTGTTGAGGGAGTCTGCGACAAGGGAGTGTTGGCTGGCCCCGGCTTGTTGCAGGGGGTCGTGAAGGCACTGCATGGGGAAACTYAGCCGACAACAACTCCACGGAGTGACTGGAAATAACCAAGAGCCGTTTTCGTGGAATCTGGAAGGGGCGACTGATGATGGGATTTTTTTTAATGGGGGGGTTATTCACTGTTTAACCGAATCGGATTTTACATTGACTTGGTATCGGCCCATCCAGGGGATTTGGTGCCACTCCTTGTAGCCCTGGGCCCCRCAGCATTGCAAGTCGTATTGGATTCGGTCGATAGTGACCTTCCATTCCTCTTGCTTTAAGTATTTACTCATGCCGATGTAAAACGAATGACCCATCGCGCGTATTATGTGTTTGTACACTTTGGCTGTGAGTTTCGCCAAAATACACAAATATATCGTGATGTAGAATGTGACACACGTCCATGCGAAAACGAGACTTCGAGTACTTTTCCTAGAAAGACGATTAGAAAATCGTGATTGAAACAAGGATCAACTTACTTGAAAGCTTGTTTCAGGCACTTTTGTTGGATTTTTATAGCGAATAAATAACAGCAAATGTTGTTAAAGCCACACAGACCTATTACAAAGAATACGTAACTGATTTCTGCACGTTCCGAATATAAAACTGGTGCCACTGAAACGTAGATGTAGATTGACAAACTTAACATAACTACACCCGTTAGTACTTGAATCATATTTAAAAACACAAATATTATACTTAAGAAATGTCGCTGGTTTTTAGTCAATTTAAATACCCCAATGGCCATAACAAGAAAAAATGACGTTGACAAACATGACAGGCGGGTGTAGTGATTTCTTGACAAGTCAAAGCTTCGAAAAACCGCAAAATTTTGAATTTGGCGCCGGGGTGACACAATTGTGAACGCACCCTTTAATAATTTTATTAGTTTTTAGCATCTTTTTAAAAAACCACAATAATTAATTCTGACTCGTTCAATTATTATTTATATGGTTAATTTTTTTATCTATTAAAATAGCATTATTATTTATTGTGATTGTGACATAACCCCACTTTTTACAATGTCATGTGTTATAAGCAGTCTCATAAAAAACGCTCTAAAGAGTAAAGTTGTGGTGTTGCAAGTCAGGTTTTACCCCCGATGGAGCCACCGAAGACCCTTGAAAGTCTACACACCCGAAGAATACGAAGAAATGGAGAAAAAACCTCAAGGTGGAAATGATGAATCTTCGATTTTTGATAAGTATGGGGGCCTTAGAACTAGTTGGAACAGGGCGAAAAATGAAAAAGACACAAATAAGTCTGTTGATTACCAAATCAAGCCTAAGAAAGAAAAAAAACCGCTAATTGCGACGAAGCAAAAAAGTGAGGTTAAGTCTAGTGTTGATATGCTCGAGACTGTTATAGACAATGAGGGGAATTTTATTTATACTAAAATGAAAAACAATGACCAGCGAGTTAGGTCAGTGGAAAAAAAATAATATTTTTGCGACAATAAATAATTATTTTGTAGTTCAATTTTAGTGGAAGTTAAGTCAAAAAAAGAGAAACAGAAAAAAGATTTGATACTGTTGGAGGGCAAACGGCTTATAAAAGACGCTCTCCAGTCGGGTTGTAGCCTCAAATACATTTTATTCAGCCGCAAAGACGAAATAGAATACTTGAGACCATATTTGCCTAAAGTGGGGGCCCAGTTGTACAAAATGCCATATAGAGAGATGCAAATATGGTCAGACCTCACTACCAATCCGGGCGTCATGGGTATGACCCTTTTCTCACTTTTAACCCTCTTAATACTAATTTTTAGGACTATTTAAAATCCCCCCTGTTGAAAATTTCGAGCCCCCAAACCCCCTCCCAATCACCGTAATCTGCGATAATATCCGTGAACCAGGCAATTTAGGCACGGTTTTACGAATTTGTGCGGCAGTCGGCTGTGCTAGGGTTATTTTAACCAAAGGTTGTGTTCACCTCTGGGACACCAAAGTGTTGAGGAGCGCAGTAGGTGCACATTTTAAGCTCAGAATTGAGCAGAAAAAGTGGGACGAGATTGGGGACGGGGTCCATCCTGAGTCTCACTTTTTTATCGCCGATAATCGGGTTGTAAACGACAGCGAAGACAACGGCGAGGATTTGGGCGAACTTTTGGGTAAAATCCCGATTTTGCCGTATTTCGGGGTCGATTTTCGGACGTGCAAACACCTGGTTGTGGTCGTGGGGGGCGAAACGCTCGGCGTTAGTAAAAATGCGTACGAATTAGCCCTCAGAAGCAAGGGCGCGAGGCTTAATATTCCATTGAGTAATGATGTTGATAGTTTGAACGTGGGCGCCGCTTTGGGGATTGTTACTTTCGAAATAAAGAAACAACTGTTACAAATAAATAAATAAATTTATTTATAAGAATTTTTTGAGTATTTGTTTTTGTTAGGTTTACAAACTAGTGGCTCGAGGACGACGTATGTTTTGCGACGAATTAATAATCGGTTAGATTCTAATGATCTGGAAATATCGTTTGGTTGCAGTTTTCTGTAAATAAAATTCAAATATTTGTGTAAATAAATGTAGAATTGTACCTTTTTTTGAATTGKAATCCAGCATTTCTTGCCCCTACCTCCACAGCTTTACTTTCCATTCTAAAGTTTTTGAAATTATTATTTTTACTTCCGATTGGTGGAATTCGGGAAAATGGGGTAAAAGTTTCATCTCGGGTCGCTTTATTCCAAGACATTTAACACAAATATCTTGCAGACTTCATTGTTTGATGGAAACTGTCCTCATATCTATCAATAGGACGTTTAAATAATTTAGTTGTACGACAAACAGATCATCCCTATCAATAAAACACCATTAATCGATGCGTAATTACCTATTTAATCCTTATTGATTTCATAATTACCCCTCATGTCCTCAATAATTAATTTAATTTGAATTTGGCGCTTGAATTTCTGTGATGGGGAATAAAAAACTTTCGCTTGATCTAATCGAAGGACATGATCGTAAAAATTACGTAATATAAACTTGTTAGTTGCATAAATTTAAATTACAGCGAGGCGAATTTGAGATTTAAAAAATTGGAGAAAAATACTAATTACGTAATTGGTGCTCGAAATTTTGCGATAAAAATATTTGTTGACGGGATCAAGTCCTCGCCGTAGTGTGTTTAATTTAGGTTAAGAAAAAGAAAAGAGAAAGTTTTCAAATCCTTTTAGAAGCAAATAAAAGGGTTTGAAAACATGGTCTGGTGTTACATAAGGTGAGTGCTTCCTCTATTTATAGCTCTTTTATGACTGTTGAAAATTTCCCGGAAAATGATCGCTAAATAAACTGATAAAAATATGAATCACATACGACTATATCACAGTTTTTAGGTGCTTGAATTCGAGTGCTAAACCATGTTTATTTCCTCCACAGAGGAATTCAAARTTCCTCAAAATTGGGTGTATAGAGGTGAAGGAAATTGTAACGTAGTATTATCCCTACCAAATGAACGAAAAATACTTAGAATTAGAAAGACCAAAAAGACAACCTCGTTACTTAGTTGGCTACTTAACTGGATAACGGACATTTTGTACTGGTATTGYGGCAATGCTTTGAATGAGGAATTACGAGATCTCACTTTTTACAAAAAAATCATAAGACCGTTGATAGGAATYAATTTCGTGTGTGATGCCGAACAAGTCTTTTTATCAAGGAAGCAAATTAAGGTTTTAGAGGACGAGTTGGCACACCAGAGGCCTGGTAATGAACAATACCTCTGTGTTTGTTTATCTTATYAGAATATTTTCCAGGTTACAGGAAAAATAAAAGTTTGCAATATGGCAGAGCTGCTTTATTTGATGATTATGCGGTTTTGCCAGACGAGTTTTATCCTTTTTTACTATCAAATAACACTTATGCTGTTGAAATAAAGCCAAAGCAGGGGTGGATACCCTTCAGTGAGAAGCATTTACCCAAATGCACTTATTGTCTGAACCAATACGTCAAGGTGATTATTTCTTGTGTAATTGTGTGGTTACACAACGTCTAATTTTAGAAGGAAAATGGACAAATTAAGTCAATTTCCGCATACTGTCCTGTTGATTTTTTTTCCGGGTATTTTTCGCTCCCACTTGTGAAAATTTTTCATGATTTATTTGTAGCGAGTCAACAAGGATGATCGACGCTTTGAAAGCGTTGATTGAGAGTCCCCAAAACAATTTTAAAGTTTTTAAAAATGGTCAATTATGTTACGGCGAGGACTGCGAAATTGAGATGTTTCAAAGTTTCATTACTGAATTTTTTAGAAACGATTGCGAAACTTACGAAACGTATGAATTGACAAATATAAAAAATCTATTGTTTTAATGTTTGATTTCAGTTTGTTGCACGAATTTTGTACACTAGTTAGGCAATGCTTACTTACAAATTTTGAAACAATAGAAAAAACAAATAACTGCAACATGAAACTGTTCTGCGAATGGAATAAAATCATTCAGGAGAATTCGTTTCAAACTAAGTTACCAAAAGGGTGTGTCCTTGAGAGGATTTTATCTGTTCAAATGTTAGATGTGGAAGGAAATCAGTATTATTACAAACTTCTAACCAAAAGAAATTTAGGAGAGTATGACTACGTGAAAGATTTAATTAAAGAAGTGTCAAGGAGACCTGGCACTTGTCTCAAATGTATAATCATGATCCTAGGCAATATAGACGAAAAAGTAATGAAAGAAAATCATTTGGTGCTTGTTCCTTACTTAATATCTGCAATAACAAAAGATTGCTCTCTGATGCTAACTTTCAAAAAAGTAATGGAAGACAATAGGTATTTTTACTATTCTCCTAAAATTTTCATACCAGTTTCTAATGATTTTAGTGATAATTATGGTATGAAAAATGTGATTAGTACAAAGTTTGGTGATTATRTCGTCAATGTTGGCGTTTTTGACTTGTATCCAAAACCGGTTTCAACCATTTTAAAACATAGGAAAAAAATTAAGAAAATTTTAGAAACCTGGGCTAAGTACGAAGCGTAAAGTATTATCTTTATATCAATTTTAACGTTTTATGTGCAGAAATATATTTTATATACAGTTGTTGTTGTTTTATTGGCGTTTTGGATCCAATTATCTTCTCGCGATAAATATAAAAAAAAAAWTTGGTTCTAATTTTTTTTCCTTATTTTTTGTCTCTTTCTTCTGGCAGAAGCTTGTGTGACAAGCCGAAATAGCTCAGTTGGGAGAGCGTTAGACTGAAGATCTAAAGGTCCCCGGTTCAATCCCGGGTTTCGGCAAACTTTTTTTTTTGATAAAAACTGAAATTATTCTTTTCTGATGATCAATTATAACATGTAGTTGTAAAAAATGATTTGTTTAGAGAAGCAGGTGTCTGATAGATGATAAAAATATGTACTCCACTACTGCGAAATGCATTTGATGATAACGAATTGTGTGATCCCAAAACCCATTTTTACAGAAAAAACACAGATTTTTATACAAATCCGTTAATAAAGTTTTTATTAGTATGTACAAATTGGTATTTTATTACAAGAGTAAAAATTAGATCACTTAAAGACACTTGCAGGTTCCACCCCCGCAAGCTCCTTCTTTTTTTTGTTCTTTACAATATAGCTGGCACAAGAATTGGAAAGGGCAAACATTGGGCATCATTGGGAAACAATTGTCTGGCTCACAAGCATCTAGAAAACAAAAAATTACAAAAAATATACAGGGTGTTGGCTTATTAATATTGCAAAAAATTGCAACCATATATTCTACATCGAAAAATAACACTAATTCGTCTAGTAGTCATATAAAGCTTTGTTACGGATCAGTTTCGTCATAAAATCAATCTTTCACGKTTTTTTCCGGACACCTGTATACTTTTATTTTTTATTAGTAGATATAATTTGTCGATGCGGTTGCAATTTTTTGTAATAATGAGATAACACCTTGAAAATAACATTTTTGACTTACAGTTGGCTATAGATTTGAGAATTTGTTCCGTTTTKATGTCCAGWGGTGGCAATTTGTGGTGGATTTCAYTCCAGTCGATTTCAACGGCAAAGGCAACCGCCAACAAAGCGAAAAATACCACAATTTTCATTTTCAACAATTCTTGTGCACTGACTTTTCCGAACTAGAAATTTTGGAAGGCTCGAAACATTTAAAAGAATCAAGTGTTTAAATAATTCAAGATAAAGGTATTATCAGGAATAAAGGTGAAAATGAACAATGTCGTAAATCTTATCAATAAAAACAATCACTTTGTTCATGTCAAATTTGTAATCTATCAATCAAGAATACACATAATTATGTTTTGTTTATTTCTTTAATTGATAGCAAAGTTATTGTGCAACTTGCTTGAGATTTTTTTTAGTTTACATTGGGATTAAAAAATAATCTATTTCAACCTTTTCAAAGACGTTTGATACGCTTGGCGAAGATTTATGGCACTAAAGTCGAGTATTAGCAACGTCGCAGAATTTTAATTTTTGTTTACCAAACAATTATGACTAATATTTAGATTAAACAGAGGTATGTAGTTAATGATAAATAAGCGGAGACTTAAATAAAATGGTGTGATTTTCTTGGTGTTTTTCATTTAAGTTAACAAAAAAAATATTTATGGTGTTTGAACATTGTTCCAGACTTAAGTAAATCCCCGAMCAAAGGTTCTTTTTTCTGGCTTAGCAGATTAAGAAAATTATTGCGTTATTAAAACAATTTATTRCAAAAATACAAAAATCAGTCTTAAATAATGAAATCAAAATTTTGTAAAGTATCAAACAGGCAAATGTGGATGTTTATGATGTTTATTGGCGTAGTTGTCACACTCACAACTACATTTCATTTGGATAAGATTCGTTTTTCTTCTTTTGCATAAACTGAGACATCTTATTATTTGTGGGCATCGAAAAGAAGAATCTAAAAATTATTTTTGAATTACACTGAAAGATATAAAAATGTAACAGTGGTGTAGTATTTCTAGAGCCACTGAGTATACTATTATAATTACCAATTGTTGTTTTGCTGGTAATAGGAAGTCCTTCACTAATTAAAACACATAAATAAAAAAATAAGATTAAATAAACTGATGCCGAACTGAACTTCATGGTGGTTGAGACTTGACTAAGAAATTCCCGTCTCACGTTTGATATACATATTGACAAAAAAATAAATTTTACTCATAACTGGGGTTTCCTCATTTTTACTATTTTGGGATTTACAAATCGATTTGTTGCAGTAATAATTAAAATCACAAAGCGTGACCAAATCACGCGAAGATTTATTTATTCATCACAGATTGCAATACATGATGTAATATCATTGATCTTGAACTTTGAATTAATCGAAATTTTTATTAGTTGCGAATAAAAATAAATAGTTAAACACATTCACATTTGCCGTCATTACCACAAACACCGGACAAATATTGATTTTTTAGTTTACAAAATACTCTACATAATTGTATGTCGTCGCACATTAAGCTTCTTCTGAAACGAGAAATGTTTCCTAAAAAATGAATTATTTACTGAAAAAATACAACATAAAAACTTTCACCTACCTCTAGTGTTATGTGTTAAAGTGCTTTTATTTTCATCATTTATTATAAAAGCTCCCGATCTTATTGTTAATAAAACAAATACAATCAGAACACCATATGCGATTTTCATTTTGAATGTACTCTGTGGCTTGACATTGAATATTGAATTGTGATAAATTTTTGATCATTTATTGGTATTCTAATCAGCAAAAGAAAGTAAACATGTTTATTATTGCTTTTTTATTTTATTCTATCACCCGGAATTAAAATAAAGTTAAATTTGATAAAACGTTTGGGTGTTTTGACCAGGACATGTGTATGTTCTTATTGTATTGTCCTGTTTTACGTTTGGGTCCTGATTTGTTCTGATTTAAGGACTAACACACCTAAGTATCTGGTTTTTTGAGATTTTTATTTGCGGCGAAAACAAAGTGTGTTTCAAATTAAAGTTTTCTTTTTGTCGTCATTTCAATTGTGAAAAAACTTAACTGAAAGTAGGAAAAAAATTCTTTTTTAAAATGTTTGCAGAGAATGAAAGAACTCTCAAAGTAATTCATACGGAAAATAAAATTGAAATTGACACGAAACAATAATTAAATATGTTAATTATTATTAGATTAGGGTCCAAATTGGTTTTTTGTTTTTCATGTCAATACTTTGCATCCAATATTCTTATTATATTTAAATTTTTATAGAGGGTGTTCCGTTTTTATTGTTACAAATTTAAACAAGTGATAGAATATTCACTTTTAAGACAAAAATTTCCTATAAACATGTATCAAAAAATTTTATAGTACAAGCGAACTACACCCCCTGAAAGAGATGCGTTTTTTAATGGGGTTTTCCCACAATTGCAGAATAGATAAAATTACAAAAGTTGGTACAGCCGATAACCTTTAAACGAATCCATTTTTAATTTTTATTCTCTTTATGGTTTGTAATACATATTGTACCTACACTGATTTTACTCGAAAACGGTTGTATCAAAAAAACGCAAGAGACCTCGTTTTTGTGGAAAAACTATGAAATTTAGAGTTCCGTGCTGAAAGTGGCAAGAACCAACAGCCAAAATAGTTAGGGTACTTTTTTCCCTAAACCCCCCCAGTTTAGGACGCTCCTAAATAAAAATTTCGACATTTTATTTTTGAATTCGTTTAGGTGTTTAAAGGTTTATTATCTGTACCAAATTTTGTAATTTTATCTAAAAGGTTTCAGAAATATTGAAAAAAAAAACATTAAAAGACGCATCCCTTTGAGGGGGTGTAGCTCCATTGGGTAGCATTTTTTGATACATGTTCATAGAAAACTTTTATTCTATCACCTGTTTAAATTTGTAACAATAAAAACGAAACTCCCTGTATAGATACATTAATAAGATTATTGTTTTGTGTTCTGGAATAAATTTATTATAATTATTTTTATTAATGTCCTAATTTTGAATTTTACAGTTTACAAAATGCGCTTTTTGTAATTTTTTAATTCAGATCAAATGGAAATAACAGTGGCGTTTGTTGGAAGAAACTGAAAAATGTGTACTTTATCGAGTTTGATTAGTGATTAATTACATATTTTATTTGTATACCTACAACTAATTGTTGCATCTCTAATGTCGACGTATTTTCATTATTAGAAGAACGAGAAAAAATAATTTGAAAATTTAAGTGCATTTTTGTGTTTTTGTGATGATAGGTATCTGGCATTGCTTCAAATATGAATCAATTACGAAATAGAGGTTATAAAAAATACAGATATTATATTTACTATAAGATTTTTACTGTGTAAATAATGTAAACGGAAGAAAAAAGAAACAAACAAAATACAAATGTTTAGTAAATTTTATTCAAAAAGTCTACATGCAGTTACATTTCTTGAGAAAACACCACGCAACATGAGGGAAAATGCAACAATCGCTGCAGTGGGCATTTATAGTGCAAGGACGATTAACACAGGAGGGTTTAATAGCGCGAGCATTCCTTTTCAATACTTGAAGAAAAAATTATTTTTTGCAAATTTTTAGCTTAGGTACTTACCATTGTTTTGGTCGGGTATATGTGTCGATTCTGCAAAAATTAAAATGGTTGCAAGGAACACAGCAATAATCAAGAATTGCTTCATTTTGGATTCTGTTGTAGTAATTTTAAGACGAGTTTATATATTATAGAAAAAAGAGGTCAAGCCAGGGGAATCCTTAAATCCACTTGTGTGTTTTATCAGGAAATAAATGTCGTTGACTCTTATTTTTTATTATAGAAAATCTTTTGCAAATGTTCATTGACAAACAGTGGGAAGAAAAAACGTAGAAACCCATTTACTCCTTTAATTTTTAATAATATTTATTTAATAATTAACAAACTAGGTTGCCTAATTTTTAATGATAAAATAAATGTTAAATCCGGGGAATGAAACCAAAAACAATTTGATACATTTCTACTGCCAATTAATTAAAACATTTACAATTTCCATTAATACAAAGTCCAGAAGATCCACTAGTGATTTTACATTGTTTGCTACAACCTGAAGGCACACAAGAGGGTGTTTTCCCAAGGGCATAATTCGCGTGTCCTGTTAATTACTATTAATTTTTGATTAAGTACTTAAAATAAATTACCTTTTAATCCGGGATTTTGGCATTTTGCAAGAGAAAAAAGCATCAACACAATAAATAAAACAGTCGCACCTAACTTCATACCGGTAATAATTGATATTTCACAATGCATACAGTTTATATTTATTTAGGTAGGTATTACGTGTAGAAGGGGAATTAGTCAATACCGGAAGAAAATTCATTTTTATTTATTTGTTATTGCTCATGAATATTTATTCGTTGTGGAAGGTCAAGATTTGAACAGTGCGATGTTTGGATTTTTATAATTACAACAACGATTTTCACTTTCTTTCTATATAATAATAGAAAGTTTGTTAAATTATTGTTGATAACAGATACGAAAAATAGTAAAAAGTTCTAGCTTGATTGCTGCCAATGTTTCAGAACTCACGCCCCAGATATAAATGACCAGAAACATGAAAAAAAAGTTTAAAAACGTTTGTTTTTTTATAATTATCTACTAAAGGTATAAAAACTTTGCCAATAAAAGCTAATAAATAACAAAATACAAAATTTAGACCCCAATAATTTCAAAATTCCTTTAGATAGATTTTTTAAACATTTTTTTATGTTCCTAGTACCTATCTTGGTATTTTTTCTGCGGCGTGAGTTCCTAAACACCGAATGGAATTTTAATTACAATTTTATCTTCTTATGTTTATTTTTTCTTAGTCGTGTTTTTTTTATTAATCATTAATAAATTATTACAATGAAATTATTAAAATTTTCGGTAAAGAAAAATTAAAAGGTATAACTTTTTTCACATTTTATTTTTAACTTTATTTTTCTATTTAATAATCTTTTCTTTGTAAAAGCTTATACTTATTCTGTGAATAATTGTTTACAATTTTAAATGTGCGTTTGCAAATAAATGAAGATAAAACACTGATTTTGATTGCTGTAGTGTAGTAATATTATTTTATGTCTTAAAATACTCACAACAAAAAAAAATAAATTAACTATCAACAAACGTGGCTGATAAACACGGAAAAGGGGATTCCATCGGGTGTAAATAACAAATTACCTATAAAATCGTCTCACAACCATTTAAAGCCATAGTTTTCTCAAGAAAGTTACAAGAGAAACACCAACAAAATGATGAAATTAAGCTCTATTTTTGCTATAGTTTTTGTTTTGTTTATCATTTCTACAGTTGCAGTTTCTGGTGAGTTAAATTTTCATTAAAAAACAACAAATAATAATTTTTTTGACAGGCGAAGAAATGGAAGTTAGACGTGTGGAAAGAGGATTTTTCTGCAATCCGGCCCTTTGCTACAGAAACTGCAAATTAGATGGTTACAGGAGGGGGTCATGCTCAGGTGACGAGTGTGTTTGCATTTAACATGATTAAATTTTAAACAATTAATTAAGACTTATGCAACCACCAAAGTGATGATATATTGTTGGTCACATATACAAATAATTAATTAATAATTGAAATAGTATTTTTTAAGTTTTCCCTTCTTATGAAATACCTTCTGAGAATTAATTCCATCACAAATAAAAGCAAAGCAAGTGCAATTCCCACTCCGAAAGTTAAAAAAGCCGAGTAACAATCAATCAGGCCAACACTCCCGAAATTGCTGCCTCTCGAGTGACATTGGGGCTTCTGCGTGTAAATTTTGCGAAGTTCTCGATTCTGAATGCCAGTTTCGTGCATTTTTCTTATTCTAATAAACAAAAATTTGTTATAAATTGATTAGCATTTACATAACTTCGAATTTACCCAACTTTCATCACTTCTTTATAAGGCGATTTCTTTTGCATAGCAAGCGAAGGTTCAATCAAGTTTACATACCCGATTTCTTTCAAACCACATTTCTCACCCTCTTGAAACATCTCACTTATTATTTTATAACCGGTACTGAGTTCGACATGAAATGCGAAAAAGCCTTCTTGAACTTTTCGAATGCCTTCTTCTGCGGTCATGAAATTGGGTTTTTGGCCCTTGGGGGCCACTTTTTGCTGGTAGATGGCTTTTTTGACCGGTTCTTGGGCGTTCTAAAAGAAGACACTGATTACTATTATTTTTTGTTAAATTAAAGTCAATACTTCGAAATAATAATGTGCGTAGACGATATCCTCGACTCCGAGTTTAATCCTAGAATTCAACAAGTCTTCTAAATTTCTGATACTGTCACTAGTGGACTGCAAAAGGGCCACAATATTCGCCGAGTACGAAGTATACAGAAACATCAAAGTCAGAAACGAGAAAATTGTTATAATCCTCCCGGAATTACTCTTAGGTTCCGCRTTTGASCCTTGTTGGGTTATAGCTCCAATTTCGAACATAACGACATCRAAAATGTTGGGTCTGAGAGTGTCAACATGGCTGGGAGTGTTTTTTTCCTCAAATTTCGTTTCTTTCCACTCCCAAACGACTATAATGTAGATGCAAACAACCACAATTGCCACCATTACGAAACAATAATGCCAAACAGCGGTGTCAAAAGGAAGGGTGAAAACATTGGTAACGTAGGATAATGGCGGGGCCCGGAAAATAAATTTTATGTATGTTGGGGTCGTGGATACGACGTAATCGATGATATCAATGCGATCCTGGGTGAAAAATAAGGGAGTTCCCCCTAAATCGGCCAAACCTCTTTGCAAATCCCCGACCATTCCGGAGTAAAATCCGGTGGTGGAGTTTTTGTAGCCCCAAGTGGGCTGCATGGCGAAGTGGCGACTAGCGTTCAAATAGTCCATTAAATTGTGGACAATAATGTAATTTAGTTTGCTTATGGCATCAATGTGACTATTTCTGCAAATCTAGTTGTAAAACAAAAATCGTTAAATTTATGCCAACCTGTAGTCCCACAAGTGGTTCAAGGAATCCAAGTTTGTGATAACATACGAGATTTTTATCGTGGTTCCCATCAAATTTCTACGTTTTGTGCTGGTGTAAAATTGATTGAAAGAATGTTGCACAAATTGTGGAACCGTAGGTGAGTTTTTATAAATCGTTTTAATGTCGTTTAATTGCGATTTTGGTTCAGTTACAAAAATGTGACTGTCGGTACCAAAATACAAGTTTGGTAGATTTTCGGGATTTCCAAACAATAACCATTTGAAAGGACTTTTAAAAAGTTTTAATTTTTCAGCTTCTTGTAACAATGATACAGAATCGTTGCATTCCAAATCAACAATAAATAATTGGTGTTCCGGAGTGACGTACTGACGAGAGACAGTTTTTATTAAATTTGTGCTATATTTATCAGAGATACTTTTCATAAAATAGCTTGTGTTTGCTAAAACTGGTCATAAAATTTAATTGAAGGTGAGTCAATAAACTTGCCTCTGGTCCAGCAAATGTGGGCACTTATTTTCACCGGAACATTTAAAATTTCAATGAAATCGAAAGTTTTAACAATTAAATTGTTGATATAATTGGCTTGAGTCTTAATTAAGAGACAAATCAAAAGTAGGAGTGTTTTAAACACTAGCATTTTGGTTGAATTGTAGTAATGTTTCTTTTCTTGCGTTTTTATAGAGGGTATTTTACAATTATGATGATATAATAAGTACTTTACTCCCCTTAGGTATAATCAAAKATAATTAACAAAATTGTAGGTTTAACAAAAGCTTGAAGATTGCTTATTTGGATTTTTTGATGATGAATTATCCAAACTGTGATTAGAATACTTAACGTACTTAAAGTAAAAATAGCGAAATTATTAATGGGACAAATGTGAGCGTTTTTTCCGTCTGGTACGTGAGATTCGTATAAATTATGGGTAACTACGTATTCTCACAGTGGGAAATCTGGTAATGTATACATGAAGGTAGAGCCAAGGTCAATGTCATTTTAATCACAAATWTAATTCATTTAATAATATTTTGTTACCACAATTGAATAATATCTCAGTTAAAGAAAATAATCTTTTTTATCAAATTCTTAGTGTGTGCATTTGATTAGGTATTATTATTGTTATATTTGTCTCTAAATATGTATTAAATCGGCTAAAAATGTTCAAGAATTTAAAAAAATGGCTATTTTGAGTATAATTATTATTGATATCACTATGTAGATTACTTTTATAAACTTTTGAAAGAAAAAAAATTTGGTCTAACCCGGAATCGAACTTCAGATTTTTGTTTTTTTTTTTAGGTCCTGATAGAGTTGTCAAATCAGGATTTATATATTTTGTCTAAAAGACTTGATTTGAGTCTATTTTTTATTACCTACGCATATACATTTTTGAGTTTTAAAAAATTGAAAAAATCAGATCCAATTTTAAAAAATAAAAAAACTAAAGTTTTTAATCATTAGTGTTATTTTTATTGTGGTTACCATAGTATTATTAATAATTTATGTATTGTTTTTCGTGCATTTTTTATGGGAAATATAAAAAAGTTGACTAGATCCGGGATGGGTCTCAGATTTTTGAGCTTTAATCTATTTACGTATTTATAGTTGACCAGTTTTTTTTTGTAAATTAACTAAATGTATGTACTAAGTACTACACATCTTTATTTTTCTTAAGATTATTTCCAATTTTGAAACTGGAAATGTTAAAACATAAACAAGTTATAGTTAAAATCGGTCAAGAGCATATTAAATCAATTAAAATATGTATTTTAATATTAATTACCATAATTATGATAACTACAAATACAGACTGACCCAAAAGTAACGCACAAAATTCATAATTCATAATTTTATGGGTCATTTTTAAAAAAATCCTCGGACAGGTCGATTTTATTTATGTAAATGATATCTACATTTTTATTATATTAATAACGTCAATGATTTTGAACTTACAATATTACCAGTATTTTTTTTAAATGGCAACTAACATTTTTGTTTACTGTTTTTGGTAATACAGCAAAATAAAAAACGCCGCTTAAAAAAAATATTGTATCCAAATAACCTCAAATTTCAATTGACAGCCGTCACTGTTGAYAGAACTGTCTGATTCAAAAAGAGGCACGGAAAAATTTACATGTAAAGATATTCTATAGGCGACTAGGTGAAAATCATTCTAAAACACGCTGTACATTCTTTTAATAAGATAGAAAAATGTGTGTTTTATTCATTTTCATGTTTAAAGGATGGAAAAAAGCATTAGGGGGACTCCGTGATTGTGATTAGTGTGGTTTAAAGTTAGTAAAATAAACAAAAAAGTAAAATAAAACAGTAAAACGTTATTTAGAAATCTATTTATTTCGTAAAAAAGTTACTAAACGAAGTACATTTTAAAACATCGCTGCTCAAACTTAAACGGAGCAAGCCGTATTCTTGATAAGTTCATCAATGTTTGCTTTGAAAATTCTGTAATTAATTTGCGAAGGATCCAATTTCCTGTAGAGGAAAGTGGGCATACGATCTGACAAAATCCACAAATTTCTCTCGGCATCGACCTAAAATAAAACCAGTTACACAACTGCAAAAAATCGCTCGAAAACTTCACCTTAATGTCGTTAGTGAAAATCAAAGCTTCCTTATCTTGCGCAACCAGTGCTAAATTCATCGAATTGAGCGGCTTTTTGGGATTCCAACACGCGACTCCATCTCTATTCAACTGAGTGAGAAACAGGACGTTGGATTTTTCGTCGAAATCTGACGCAGACGCTTGCGTTTGATCACCTCGATTACCTTCAATCTATTAAAATTTTCTCAAACAAGCAAACAAAAACCAATTAAAAACCTTAAACATGTAGTAATTGTGGGGGTCCGTGGCCAGAGTCTTGTTTTTCAGCACTTGAGTGGAGACGGAGAACTCGCGAGTGCTGGCCAAGGGGTGGAAATACATGGTCCTGAAGCCGTTGTCCTGCGGGGGCCCTAAAGCCAACCCGAAGACGCCGTCGGTCCACTGGAAGTTGACCCCTCCGACGTTGAAGTCGCCCTTGAGGGGGTCAAAGTGGAAGAAGTTGTGTTTGACCCTCCAGGAGTCGTTGGCGGCCCAGGAGTACACCACGACGCTGTAAGCCCCCAAGTCGGGGATGTAGGCGAAGGCCTCGTCGCATTTTTCAGGGTCCACATCCACCACCTGTAAAAATTTGTGTTTTTTTTTGCAAAAACCAGTGATTTTTTTCTTACAATATTGGCAAAGAACGACTCTTCTTTGAAGTCAGTGTGTTTCAAGTTGTACCTCCGGATCAGTTTGTCTGTTTTTAGATCGAAAACCACAATCGCCTGAGGTGAGACTTGTTTTCCCTCGCCGAAAATGTCAGCTAGGCCTGTGTCCATTACCCACAGACGGTCACATGGGTCGACTTTGACGCGGAAAGTGGAGACAATGAGGTCGTCGGAGGGTTTTTCCTCGCCTTTGGGGAGAGTGTTGGCTTTCCAGCTTGGGTAAGGGGTAAGGGGGCTCGTTTTGTTGGCCGATGACAGGGAAATGTAGTTGAGCGACGCTGCGACTCCAGATTTCCATCTGGAAATCAACGACATTGAGGATTGTTGAAAGGATTGACATTAATCTTGTCGTGATGCAAATTATTGATGTTGGAGGTTGTTTACGATGCAATTGTGAATATTTATGAGATTGGTGAGAATTGTAAGAAGACATGTGGTCGGTGTAGGATTTATTATTGATGTTTATTTATCAATTAATGATTCAAGAGCAATATACGTGATTGCAACACAAAAAATCTCATATTTTTGAGTTTCAATATCAACAATATCAAAACAAWYWCATGCAAGTTTYTCGATATTTGATATGTARTTGTGGGGACTGGCAAACATWTCAGTCKAAGGATTGAATTTTTATAAAAAAATGAACAAAGTATTTTTTAACCAAAAAAATAAAAATAAAGAGAAACCTCTAACTGGAAAGAAATAACAAATGCATGCATTTACAATAACTTATAAGTTTATACATATTCAATTCAAATACTTTATATGGTGCTGAATCTAGTGCAATACAATCATTTAAATTCTAAAATTGTATTTTTGCTATTTTGTATTTTTTTATTTGTTTGTGCATACACATTGATTCTTTTTAATGTCTCGATAATAAAACAAGATAATTAAGTATCTTAAAGTTATTTATTAAAATAAAAAGTGTTTGAAGACGAAATCTCTTATACGCTGTGTTGAAATTGAGAGCATTAACTTGACACGATTTCAGCAAAGCATAATAAGAGTTTTAATGGCAACTCCCATTTAAGAAAATTAGTCAAAAAATATGTATGAAAAATGAGAGCTTGTAACACGCATTTTTATACTAGTTTTTCTATTGAGAGCTATTAATATCTGTTTTATTATTATATTTGATATTTGACAATTAAAATTGATGACATACTTGACGTTTGCGGTACCCAAACCGCTTGAAAATAGCTCAAATTGCATTAGTTTTAGTGAAATACGTTGAACTACAACAATTTCTCACTTAAAAACGACAGTGTGTATACTCAATATTGGTAAAAATATTGCTATGTTGCTAAAAACAGTGTCATAATAGTATATTAAAAAATAAGCTTCATAAGACTAGTCTTGAAGCACGAATTCAAGTTTAAAAAACGAGTGGCGTAGCCACGAGCTATTTTAAAGAATTAGTGCTTCAAAGATTTATGAAACGAGTTTCTTTATACTATTTTTTGTATTTTGCCTTCTTTTTGCCGTTTTTAAACAAAAAAAATACTTTAATTTATTTAGGGATTGTTGTGACGTTTGCTAATGCTTAATTTTAAAAGTCAAAATTTGATCTAGTCGCCTTTTGATTAAGCGATCGCATATGATGACGTCGCGTTTTTTAATGTGTCTATTAAAGAATCAAAATGGAGGCAACTTACAAAAACAGCATTTTGTGTAACTGAAAACAGTTTTACAAAAAGCTCATTGTGACACTGAAATAGAAAAAGATATACTCCTTTTCATATTAATGTGCATCAAGTAGGTTATAGAAGTCTAAATGAATCTTTAATTTAAAGGCCGACTTACACAAAAAGTGTCATTAATGTCTTCAGAACAAATTTACACATCAATAATGACAAAAATCTTTTGCTATCCTATTGTTAATTTTAATTATTTTTTGCTACATGTAGTAATACACATTGATATTAATTTGAAAAAATAATTAATTAGGATTAATAATTAATTAGGATTGTTTGAATTTTCGCATGGTTGCCACCTTAAAATGATCCCTTTCTTTCAACGACTACTTCGATGCACATTAATATAAAAACGAGTATAATTATAAATCAAAATGGATGCATCTAAGAATTTTTTTCAAAAAAAATGACCCCAAAAAATCATTTTATTCCAGACTTTTGACGGTCACTGTGTACATACATTTATTATATTACTTACCACTATTTTTCTATTAAAAGCATAAGAAACTGAAATTTAGTTAGGATATAGGTAATCTATTTTATGTTTTTTTAAGAGAAAAAAAATTATATCACTTATTATTGTGATTCAAATTATTGCTCTGATGCAATTAACAGGAGTTTATTCCGACAATAGTAAACACGTTTTTTCAGTTTCAGATACTTTTTTGAA